ACCTGGCCTGGTCACACCAACCTACTCCACCATTGTAACGTGGGAAGGGCACACACTGCTTCTGCAAAGTGATGTCTTTCAAATATTTGGTAGCCTTCCAGATATGCATACCCTTGATGGCCTGGGCAGTTTCACGGGTGTTCTTAAAGTGGTCCCAGAGAGTCAATCCTCTTCATTTGCATGATTTCGTGAGGTTTTCTGGGTCATTTTGGCAATCACCTTAGGCTGCAACTGGAAGAAGAAGAGCGGTGGGCCCTGGGAGAATTCATGGTCACTTGCTATTATAATAACATATGAGGGAGCTTCAAAAAGCTTGTGAAAAAATCTCATTTATTTTATTTCCAATTTTCCATGAACTTTTTGAAGCCGCCTTGAATATATGTATAATATAAAATTATAATATATGTATATTTCTATATATTGGACTATGTTACATTTAATCATTCACTTGCTAAATGTAATAAAGTTTTTGTAGTTAAGTAGGAAAATGTCATATTTTGGAATTATGTATTTCAGTATTTAGGGGCAAAATGTCATGTCTATAATATTTGAAAATAGAAATAGATTACACAAATGCTACATGTTAACAATTGATAAATGTAGGCACTGTGTGTATGAATATTTATTATAATTTTCTCCCTACTTCTTAGTGTATATTTGAAATAGTTTATCACTGTTAAGCCCAAACACAGTAATGCTGCAGTGAGAAACCTTGCACATGTCTTGTATTCTCTGTGGCTCATCCCAAGGCCAGCTAAGCCCAATAGTAGGTTACATGGGAAACCTAGGACTGTATTTTTCATATTGAAGTTGGTAAAATTTAAAGTAACTCCTAAAATAATTTTAAGGAGATCATGAACAGTAATACATTGTATATAAAGTAGAACAGAAAATTCTTAAGGGTTTTGAACTCATACAGATGAACAGTACATGAAACATTTTTATTGTTCACATTTATATATACAAGTTTACATGATTATGTTGTAAAATAAATTTCTTATTATATACTAGAGGCAAAAAGTTTGAAAGTCATTGGGACATTACTTTTTTCTACCAGAAATTGCTGATGTTAGTTAGTGCTTTCTTGGGGTTCATTTCTCTTATTTAAATTATTTGGCTAGGCCTTACTTTCTACAGCTCAGTTACTTGATGGATGAGCTAGAAATGTTCTCATTTTCTTGATTTTGATTTTTCTAGTAACGGTGACTGAAGTTTTACCAAAGGAAAAGAAACAGAAAGAGGAGAAGACCTTAGTTCTTGGTCAAGCTGTGGTGGATCTTCTTCCTTTACTGGGAGGTCAGTTGTGTGATTTGCCCCAAAGCAGAAAGGATAATCAAGCTCACCAATTAGCTTCAAACAAAACCACTGCCATCAAATTAACTCATATTCATAGCAATTCTCTAGATAGCATAGAACTGCCCCTTTGGGTTTCTGATACTGTAAATCTTTTGGGGATATAAGCAGCCTCATTTGTCTCTTATGGAGTGACTGGTGAATTCGAACTCCTGACCTTTTGGATTGCATCCCAACACATAACCCACCATGCCATGGGCACTCCTTCAGCTAGCTCCAGGGAGGTTTAAAAAAAAAAAATCCTTGATCTACTTGAGGAACATATGATTCCTGGTTGAGGTTGCCTAGGAAACGCTACAAGGCAGTTCTACCCTGTCCTGTAGAGCCACTATCAGTCAGAATCAAGTCAATGGCAGGGAGTTTGGTTTTCCAGAAGAAGAGGTGAACACATTTATCTCTACTTGCAGTAATACTAATTTAAATTTTCATTCTTTGGCTTAAATTTGATCTTGTTTTTGCAGGAGGGAACTCACTTGAAACAGTGGTCCCATTGCACCCTGTGCCAGGCTCACCCCTAGAAACTATTCGACCAGGTGCTAAGGTAATGGGAATTTCAACTCTCAACATTTCTACTGACTATCAGTCTAGCAAACTGCTGTTAAGGTTTAATTCAGTCCATTAAACACCCTTTTCCTGGGCACGCATAGTATTAGGCTGTGAAAAACAAGGGTGAAGAAAGCAGCACTCTACCTTTACAGGGCCCACAATCTATATATCGCCGACTATAACACAATGTGATTAAATGGTGGGGGATAAGGATCACAAGAACACAGAGGGACAGCGTGCATGTACCGACTATGCGAAGGTCACTTTGCCCAGGAATAGATGTAACTTGAACTTTTTTTTTAACTCACTGCTGTTGAGTCGATTCTGACCCACGGGACCCTATGGGACAGAGTAGAACTGCCCCTGTGGGTTTCCGCGATTGTAAACCTTGACAGGAGTAGGAAGCCTCCTCTTTCTCCTATGGAGCAGTTGGTGGTTTCAAACTGCTGACCCTGCAATTAGCAGTCCAACATGTAACCCACTACAGGGAAATGCTTTCTTGAGCTGTCTTGACTGATTAAATAGTTTATGAAAGCACCTGGTATGATAGCCAGCCTTTGGTGATTGGAGGAGGGGAACTATCACCTGGAAGGTTGTGTGCTTGCCACGGGTTAGTCTGCTGAGCTCCAGTTCCCATTCCTCCTGGGGCTCAGTAGTTTCTTGGGATACTGCTTTATCACTGAGGTACCAGTGCCCTCATTCTCCATATACCACAGCTGCTGAGCATTGTTTCTGCACCAGGAGAGAGGAGGACTCAACTATTCCCTAATTAACCATCTTGCAATTTCCTTATTAACTGTCTTAGTGGTCTCACTGGGCCCCTCCTACATATTTTCTTTCCTCCCACTTCTCCCACCCCTAGCAACCCCCAAAGAATGTTTGGCTGTGTGTAAATATTTTCTTACTGGTTACATATACCTATAATTAGAAATTTATGCACCAACTACTAAAGCTACTGATGAGGAAATTGAAGAATTTTACCAACTTCTTCAGTCTGAAATTGATCAAGCATACAATCGATTCATTGGTAATTTCTGGTGATTGGAATGCAGACATTGAAAACAAAGGGGGAGGAGCAGTAGTTGGAAAATAAAGCTTCTGTAAGTTGACAACTTATTCATTGCAAATACCTCTTTTCAACACGTGGAACTTGCCAGATGGAATACACAGGAATAAAATTGATAGCATTCTACCTTGGGTTTGGTATCAATGAAGAGAAATTAGAGAGAGGCTCAATAACATAATTCATAACAGGACCATCATTTGCTCATATGAACAAGTTCAAGTTGAAGCTGAAGAAAATTAAAAACAAAAGCATGACTTTGAGTACATGCCATCTAAATCTCAAGAATAGATTTGGCACATTGGGCACTAATAAGTTGTAGGGTGATATAAAAAAGATATAAGAAGGAAACAAGACAGGAAAAAAGAAAAGACAGAAATGGATATCATAAAAGACTGAAACTTGGTGAATGTAGAGTAGATAGAGTGAATGGAAGACATGATGAAGTAAAAGATCTGGACACAAGATTTCAAGGACAATTTGAGAAGACAAAGTAAAGTATTACAATGAAATGTACAAAGACCTAGAATTAGAAAGCACAACAGAAAGAACTGAAGAAAAATAAATAAATCTTTGATTTGCAAGACTAAAGAATTCTATGAGCAAAATATTGAATGATGCAGGCAGCATCAAGAGAAGGTGGAAGTTCCCATACCAAAAAGAACTGGTCAGTGTTCAACCATTTCAGAAGTTAGCCTGTGATCGCGAACCAAGGCCTGAAGAATGGATGGAATACCAATTGATATTTCTATAAATGGATGCAATGCTGGAAGCAGTCATTTGTTTATGCCAAAAAATTTGGAATAATTACCTGGCTAACTGACTTGAAGAAATCCTTCTTATACTAATTTTAAAGAAAAGTGGTAAAAAGTGCAGAAATTATTTAACAATATCATTCATATTATGCAAGGGTTGCAGCAGCTCATTGATAGCAAATTGCCAGAACTTTAAGCCATAGTTAGAAGCGGGCCTGGGCTAAGGGATATTACATGGCTCTTGGCTAAAAGCAGAGAATACCAGAAAGATGCTTATCTATTCATTGACTATGCAAAGGTCCTCACCTGTGTGGATCAGAATAGCTGATGGGGAATACTGTGAAGAATGGGAAATTCCAGAACAGGTTGTTGTGTAATGCTGAATAGGTACACAGACCAAGAAACTCATTCCAGCAGAGCCAGGGGATCCTGAAATGGTTTAAAATCTAGAAATGTGTGTGTTAGGATTGAATCTTTTCACTATATTTGTTCAAGCTGTATGCTGAACAAATATCTGAGAAGCTGGACTATATGAAGAAGAATGTGGGATCACAACTAATTAATGAACAACCAGTGATATACAAATAACAAAATCTTGCTTGCTGAAAGTGAAGAAGATTTTAAGCACCTACTGATAAGGATCAAAGACTACAACTTTCAGTCTGGATTACACCTCAACATAAAGAAAACCAAAATTCTCACAACTAGCATCATAATAAATTGAAGAAAAGATTGAAGTTCAGAAGGATTTAATTTTACTTGCATCTAAAATCCATCCCCCTGGAAGCAGCAGTCAGGAAATAAGACAATGCATTGTATTGGGCAGATCTGCTCCAAATGACCTTTTTAAAGTGTTAAAAAGCAAAGATGTCATTTTGAGGATTATGGTATACCTACCACAATTTATATTCATTATCCACGCGGAAAGGTGAACAATGAATAAGGAAGACTGAATATGCATTGATGCATTGCAGTTAGGGAGTTGTGAAGAATACAGAATATATCATGGATTTACAGAAGAATGAATGAACCAATCTACCTTGGGAGATGTATAGCCAAAATACTCTTAAGAAGGGAGGATGGTGGACCATGTTGTCAGAAAGGACAAATCTCTGGAGAAGGACATGATGTTTGGTACTTGGGAGGGAGACACTCAACAAGAAAGATTGACAGAGTGGTTGCAGCGATGGGTTCAAAGAAAGCAACAATTGGGAGGCTGACCAGGACTAGGCAGCGTTCGTTCTGAGATACATGTTTATTTTATTGACGGTCTGAGATGAGCTTCCAGCTGACAGCTATCAGTACCTACCAACCAAATGAGGAAGCTGCCTGGGGTATCTAGCTAGGTGGGTCCTTCAAATTAACTGCCAACTCAAATGGTATCTGACTACAACTTCACTGGAGATTCAGACAATAATTGCTTATCTGGGTCAAGCCAGTCCTTGAGCCATGAGCATAAAGCATAAAATGTGTGTTAAGCCTTGCTTGGTGAAGTAGAGGATCAGTGGAAAGGAGGAAACCTTAATAAGATATTTTGGGGGTGTGAGGGTATGGTTCGCCTTCTTTAACCCTTTTGTGAACACAACATGACAGTGTAGTGTTGTTAAATCAACCGGGAGTAAGTGATTTTATTCTTTAAGGGGTAATATGTGCCAAGTCTTCAAAGCACGAGAGAACCATGTTACTCTCCGCCTTTAAAGGAGTTTGGCTCTGTGGCTAGAAGAGCCATCTTGGTAATCATCGGTGATCTTCATTTTAACAAAACAGAATCTCCAACTTTTTACGCTTATTGTAGGTTGAGGAGAGTTCTCCATTCACACGCTGGCAGAATCTTCAGAGTGGCTGCTGGCTTGAGGAGGCGTTCATGTGCTCCAGTTCTGATGTAGTGCACAGAGGGTGCTAAATGTTAGTCCTGCTAGACCTGCTCGTGCAACAGCCCCACCCCCCCCCAGACCACCTGTACATTGATACCACATGTCTGTCATGGCTCCAGCTGCCCTTGTGTTGGGGTCTTCTGCACCTCGTGGTTGTCAGTGATATCACCAAATGCACTACAGAGCAGAGCTAGAGACTCTGGAGCAGCGGTTCTCAGCCTGTGGGTTGTGACCCCTTTGGGGGTC